CACTACCGGTTCTGGTCACAAAGCGCTTTCTGGCTTTTGCCCCATGGATGTTTGTGACACTTTGTGCATTTGTGCTTAATGACGACATTTCTGCATCTCTGCAAATCTGGGCGCAGGAGTTTATGCGCAGTGGGAAGAACAAAACGCCGCCAGCGGAACTTCTACCTCCCGCCAGTTTTAAGACACCTCCTGATTTCATGTGGAAAAACATGCGTTACGCGCTCGGTGAAACACGGTCGTGGCAGCAGCGAACTCCAGCACCGCCCGGCTGTGAGCCGCACCGTCCCACACGCGCAGGACCCAGCAGACTGCCGGACTGAGAGGCTGCAGGGGTCGGACGCCGATGGGGCGGCCTGGCCGGGACCCACGCTCTTCTCCCGGTCACTGCCCGGTTTGCATATCAGGTCGGAAGGAGGGCTCAGAGAGGGGAACTGGCTCGCTGGGCGCCACACAGCAAGTTCACGGTAGGGTTAGGGTCAGGGTCAGGGTCAGGGTCAGGGTTCAAGTCCCTCCAGACAGCGCCTGGGCGGGGGCAGCTGGACGCTGGCGGGACCGGGCGGGTGTCCGCAGGCGGAGTCCAGGCCGCCGGGGCAGCCGTGCGGCAAGAGCAGAGCGGATTGCGTCAGGGTCCGCGCTGCCCGCGGCCTTCCCGGGGTGACGCAACGCTGCGCCCTGGGGGCGCCCGGCTCACCTGCGCTGTGCCCACTCCTCCCTCTCGCCCACACCCACGCGCCCTTGGACCACGACCTCGTGTTTACCTTTGGCTCCAGTCTGCGCTTGCGAAACGAGTGCTGTGACACATAAACCTGCCCCTGCCGTCTCTCTCGGGGCCACCGGCTGCTCCCGCGAAGGACTGAGATCCGGGTGGCCGGGGGTCACCCCCGGGAAAGCAGCGTGCGGTTCGGTGGCCTGTTTGTTGCCGTCTCCCACACAAACGGCTCGGCTGGGTTCCAAGGAAGATTTGTTTACAAAACCGGCTGCGAGGATCCACTTTGGCCCCGGGGCCCACGCTGGCCAGTCCCGATCTGACAGTTCTGTTCTTGCCCCGTCACCGGCCCGGTTTCTGAGGGAGACGGCGAAGCTATTTCTGGCTTCCCTACCGGCAGGTCCGGTAGGATCACTTCTGCCAGAGTCTGGGGCCTGCCCACGCCTGGCAGAACCAAGCCCCGAGCTGGAGTGTCGGCTGAGTTCTGGGCAGACCCGGGGCGAGAGGCCTCGGCCCACCGCGCAAGTCCAGCTGGCTACACGCCTCCCACGCCACGTGGCCCCGATCGCCCCAGACCGCTCCTGCCCTCGGCAGGGTGGCAGCCCGTCCCGCCAGGCGCCCAGGCAAAGAGCTCGCCGTCCCGTCAGCAGTGGCGCCGGCTCTGCCTTCCAGACACTCCCAGCGTGTGGCTGCCCCTCCCCAGTCCCCGCGGCCTCCCCGGTCCCTGCACCGTCCTCTTCCCCTCGGCTTCCGTAAGGCCACGTGACCCACTCTATAGCCAACTATGTATTATCCATTCTCACAGGTTACACCTGTGATTCGTTGGTTGTTTCCTCCCCACTAGAACGTAGGAGATTCTACAGACGGTTTCCCAAGACCAACGATTTGGTCTGTGTGGTTCCTGGCTGTGGCCCTGGCACCTAGAACAGGGCCTGGCTCAGCACGTGTTTGTTGAGTGAATAAACGAATGACAACAATGCCATGAGTAGACTCAGGCACCGCCCTCGGCACCCAGCCACAGGCTGGGAGGAAGCCCAGAGCCGGTGCGTATGGCCGCATGTGAGAGATGTGAGATACCTGAGAGACGTGAGAGAAGTCAGAGACATGAGAGACGTCAGAGACGTCCGAGATGTGAGACGGGGTGGCAATAGCCCGGCCACCATCCGACTGCACCTGCAGGGGAGACCCCACGAGAGACCACCCGGCCGAGCCCAGGTGACCCCCAGAGACAGAGAGAGGGAGACAGGGAGAGAGAACACTGCGCGCGCTAAACCCCCCACAGCTGGGGGGGCGCGCTCCACACCAGACGCGCAGAACAGCGGCCCACAGCACAAGAGCCCCCCCCCCCCGCCCCTCCCCTCTCCCCCCCACAGAGAACAGCCCCCCGCACACCCCCCGACACGCGCGGGGGGGGGCGCACACCACAGCCCCCACAGGCCCACAGAGAGAACACCCCCGGGACACCACAGGGGAGACCCCCCCGCCCCCCCGACACCCCCCCCGCGCACAGCGACACGCGATATCAAAAACCACACCTGGAGACACAAGACACCGGGGTTCCCGGCTCGCTGCCGCCTGGGGCACAGCGATCGGGTCTGGAGAGTGGGAGTGGCCGCCTGCCCTGCTCTGGGGCTGTCGCACCATAGGAGTGGAGCAGCCCGAGTGCTCACTGCCATCGCTCTTATTCTCCGGGGTCACCCGAGTCCCCCTGGGGCCCCCAGGCCCCTCAGTCACCCCCACAGGGCTTCTCAAGGGGACCCAGGAGAGGTGGCAGGAAGGGCTGGGATCCGTGCCCCAAATTCACAGGCGTGATGGTGTGAGCAGGTGGAGCCTTTGGGAGGGGCCAGGGTCAGAGAAGGTCGTGAGGGCGGAGCCCCCACGGAGGGCCGGAGCCCTGCCAGGATGAAGGGACCAGCACCCCCTGCAGCGGTGACAAGGGAGCGGCACCCTAAAAACCCGAGCCCGTGACCCCGTCTCAGACTTGCAGCCCCCAGGACTGTGAGGACACGAACACCTGCTGTCCAGGGCGTCCAGCCTGCGGTGCTTCGTTATGGCACCTGAGCCAGGACAGCGTGCCTCAGTTTCCCCACCTGTACAGCGGGAGCTGGAAGGGGTGTGCTCTACACCTACGGTTGTCTGTGTAGACGTGTTTTGTCAGCTCAACCCCCCACACACACACGGGGATATGTGTGTTTGCTCACACGGCTGGGTCACGCTGAGGGCTCACCCCCTGGGCCCGGCCACCCACCCCGCTGCAGCTGGGACGCCCCGAGTCCTGGCGTGGGGCCTGCTCCTCGTGGGGCCGGCACAGTGCGGGGGACAAATCAAGGATCGGAAAATCCAAACCTCCCAGGAAACCTCTGGGCCCGGCCGGGGACTCACCTGCAGGTGGAAGCCCGTGTCTGCCGCATCGGCCGTGGGGCCCCCAGAGAGGCAGACCCCAACCCAACCAACCTCGAGGACGCGCGGCAGGCTGGCCCGGGCACACCAGAGTGGCCAGTCTGCGGCCCTCACACGCCCAAGGTCGCGGGGCAAAGGAGGGCGGGCGCTCTGCCCGCCGCGGGAGGAGGACACAGGGTGGCGACACTGCCCGCGTGGGCCCCGTCCCTGCAGAGGGCGTTGCTGGGGAAACGGAGACGCCCCGAGGACCACGTGGCCGACGTGTCCGCCCCGTTTCCCGATGTCGACCTCGGGAGAGCGTCTCAGTTTGCAGGAAACACACAGAGGGGCTCTCGGGGGTGACCCGCGTGCTCCCCAGGGCTCCGGGAAAGGTGCTCGGTAAACGGAATCGTTTCAGCAGAGAAAATGCAGGGACCGGCGGGTCGCGCACCCCTTACTGAAAATGCTCACGGCCGGAGTGTTTGGGACTCCGGATTTTCCAGATTTGGGGATGCCGTTTTTGCGTCACCCTTGGCGGTCGGCATCCTAATTCAAAAATCCAAATCCTCAGTGCTCCAGGGAGCATTTCTTGAGCCAGCGCTCAGGACTTGCAGGTTCTGGGGTACCGGGACCCGGGTTTCTGGGCCAGGGTGCTCCGCCTCTGCCCGACCACGGAGTGACGGGGAAGGAAATATTCCCGCGGGCTGCTTGTCCCTGCTCCTCTGCTCCCGATGGGAGTGGGAGGCTCAGAGAAGCTCCACTCTGCGCCTGCTGTTTACCTCTTCAACGGGGACAGAACGGTCAGAGTTTTATAAGAGCGTGTTTGGGCTTTAAAACCGCAGGGAGGCAGCTCCCGGCCTTGCCCGCCTGGCGCACAGCTGGCTTCGGCCCCAGGCATGGCTGGGGCACCTTGGGCCCTGGTGGGCCGTTTCCCAGCCGCTCAGGGGGCCACAAAGTGGGACGATGCAGGGAACGAGAGCACACACTCAGGGCAGGGTACAGCTGGTGTCCCTGTGAGCGGGAGGGACCCGTCCCCACCTGGGAGGGGAGGACGTCTCCCCACAGACCCCGTCCTCTCTGGTCTGGCAGGCGGGATTCCTCCCGGCTCCAGGAGCAGACGGTGAACAGATGGGCGCAGGAGTGGCCGGGCCTGGGATCGGGGAGGGGGTCCCCGCCTGCCTCTGCCTGCCGGGCGCCAGGAAGCGTAAAGGGCGGAGGGCGCGTGGTGTGGACGCCTGTTTCCGTCCTGTGCGGTGGGCGCGTCAGCCCCTCCCGAGAGCTGGGGTGAGACCAGGAGCTTCCCGTGTGCCTGAGTGACCCAGCACCTGCCAGCCCAGGCCACTCGCTGGGCCTCAGGCGGCACTCCCACCGTGGCCCGCCCCGTGCCCCCCACGCGCGAGGGAGCCGAGCGATTACAAAGCGGGAGGGTCGTGTTTGTCTGGGACGCGTCACAAGGGGAGACGTGCCGGGGCCCGGCTGGGGGCTGGTCGGTGAGGGGCTGTGGCCCGCTGGGGAAGGGGCCGGAACGGAAGGCCCCGTGGGCGGGGGGAGCACAGGGCGGCAGTGACTCGCGCGGGGCTGGCGCCGCCCTCCCAGACCAGGCTGCTCCTTCCAGGGCCGGTGGGGGGCCGAGGGGCGCAGCTGGCGGGCAGAGCAGTGAAGTCCTCGGCTCAGCAGCGAGGTCCCGGTGGCCAGGCCCTGGCTAGGAGAAGGCGGCTCCGTCCCTGCCCGCTGGACGGTCTCCCTGGCTGCGGCGGGCAGCGCCCTCTGCCGGTCCCGCCCCTGTGCGCGGCATCGCCCGGCCTGTCCTCGGCGGCGGGACTGGCTCCCAAGTCCGTGCGCTCCGGGCACTGGTCCTCGCCCTGCGCGGCAAGCGGTCCTGATTCGTCTTCCCTCTCCCAGGCCAGCGCCGCCGTCAAAGCGCCAGGGCCTGGGCCACTGTCCACGGGACGCTCAGCAGCAGCAGCAGCAGCATGGCGGCCACCAGCGGTCCTGGGGTCCCCGGTGGAGGGGAGGCCAGGGAGGTGCAGGAGCAGACCTCATAGCCGTCCTCAGAGCGGCTCTGGTCGTGCTGTCCCGGCAGGGCGCGAGCCCCATCCACACCCGCCGCCTCCGAGCCGTCGGCCCGCGGGTCTCCACAGACCAGCCAGTCCCGGGCCGTGGACTGCGGGTACCCGGGCGCCGCCTCCAGCTCACCGTCCAGCACCTTCCAGTACTCCTGGCCGCGGAAGAAGTAGGCGGCACCTGGGGGAGGAGGAGGCAGCGCTGAGCTCCGCTGGCCCCGCCCCACATGGGGACTCCGCTGGACGGCGGGGACACAGAGGGCCTCTGAGACGGAGTTGGAGTTTGTGCGGCCACAGCAGCACCGCACAGGCCCGGGCAGCTAGGAGGAGCCGCTGGCGGCAGGGGATGGACCGGCCGACCTCTCAGAGCTTCCCTCCCGGACCGGGTTTTGCCGAGAGCCTGCTCTGTGCCCGAGGACGGAGCACTGAACACAAAACAAGACGGAGGACACTTCCGTCCTGGGGGAGCTGCCCATGGGGTGGTTTCTCTACACTGCAGCGCACGGGGAGGCCAGGGCTGTGCTCAGGAGGCGTGGTGGGGGCTGCGTGGGTGTCTTGGGGAGGTGCAAAGGCCCTGGGGTGGCAGTGTGTTTGCTGTGAGAGGCAGGAGGCAGAGGCAGGTGGGCTGGGGGCACGGCAGAGCTGCGGGGAGGGCAGAGAAGCCCCAAGGGGAGGGGCGCGGCGCTCAGGAGTGGGGGACCCTTGGAGGGTCTGTGGCGGGTGTGGGGCAGACCCCTCAAGCTCACTCTGACAGGTGCTGGGCTCCCCTCTGCTCAGGGAACCCTCCCAACAAGCTGTTGCTATGCTGTCTACAGGTGGGGAAACTGAGGCTGCACAGCCTCGACCCGGGCCCGGCGCTCACCATCGGACCAGCGCATGGCGTCGTCCAGCGTGCTGGGGACGCCCCTCCACAGGGGGCTCTGGGCTGGGTAGCCGGGGTCCATGCGCCGCGTGTGGTCATCGTAGCGCCAGTACAGCTGGTCCTTAAAGAAATAAGTCCTGTCATTGTGGGCCCAGGAGAAGGCGGCATCCACGCCGCCCGGTGGGAGGCTGAAGTCCGAGACGGGCCGCGGGTATCCTTCCTCTACGTTATTGTCCTTAAACACCCAGTATCTGTCTCCTGGGGGCGAGAGAAAGAGCCATGGGCCGGGGCTCGGCCCCACCCCGAGGGGCAGGGGGCTCCAGCCCTTCGACCTCCCCGCGTCTGCCACCCCTCGCCCAGGTGCTTCAGGACGGTGCTGTGACTCGGTGCCCCGCGTCACAGTGCCGCGTGCTCACGAATACTCAGTGAGCGGCTGCTCGTGCCTGGCACGGACGTCCCGCGCACTCGGCAGCTGTGGACGCGGGTTCTGTGTGGCAGCCACTTCGTGGACGGGGACCCGCCTCTCGGGCAGAGCCCCAAGGCACCACTCTTTACCCTTTTCTGGGGGACAGGGCTGGGGACATCTTCGTGGGCACAGACAGGAAAGGCACTTGTGTGACTTTCACACTTTAGTAAGAGTTGATGCAGAAACAAGATGTCTAAAAGTCCTTTGCTGGACAAAGGGAAGAGGGACACGTGGAGAGACGCTCATATCACTAGAGAAGCGCAACTTGGGACTCAAGGAGACGCCGCCGCACCCGTCGGACGGTCACGGTCAGAAACAGAAAATAAGCGCTGAGGGGAGGAGAGGCTGGAACCCAGGGGCACTGCTGGTGGGGACGTGTGGCCACCGTGGAGAACAGCTCGGAGCGCCCCCAAACTCTGAAGCTAAGGCTACCACGGAACCCAGCAATCCCACCGCTGGGTGCTCGTCCAAGGGAACGAGGGCAGGGTCTGGAAGACGCATTTGCACGCCCATTTGCACGCCCACGCGCACGGCTGCGCTCTTCTCCACGGCCACGAGGAGGCGTGTCCGCTGGCGGACAGCGGATAAACGAGCGTGGTCTGCCCACACGCCGGAACGCGACTCGGCCTTGGAGAGGAAGGAACCCCGGTGTCACGCTGCCACGTGCACGCGCCGGAGGACACCGTGTGGAGTGGGGAAATTGCCAGACACGAGGGACAAACCGCGGGATCCCCTGAGGTCCCCAGAGCTCCAGATTCAGAGACAGAAAGTGGGCGGGGGGGTGCCGGGGCTCGGGGGGACGCAGATTAGTGCTTGATGGGGACAGAGACTCACTTTGGGAAGATAAACATGTTCTGGAGACGGACGGCGGTGGCGGCTGAAGAACAGCCTGTGCTCACTGCCACTGAACGGTGCGCTTAAAAACGGTTAAAATGGCAAATTTCGTTACATATTTTCTAACACAATTAAAAAGGACACAGAAGTCCTTTGCTGGAGCCTGGACAGAGCTGAGACGTCTGTGAGCAGGGGAGGCGTCGGGAGAGGGCGGCACATCTGAAAAACGCCCCGCTGCAGCCCAGCGGGAACCAGCGGGGCCGTGGGGAGGGCGGGCCGCGGGCAGAGGCCTCCACAGTCTCCCGTCCTGCCCCCGCAGGTCACCCCCGCACTATTCAGGGGAAGTGGGGACTTCAGACTGGAGAAACCTGCAGATGTGCCTTGTCCAGGAGACCAGAGCGAACGTCACCAGGAGGACGGCTCAGAACTCACCACCGCGGTGACGTTCCCGCCGAACGTGCAAACCAGAGTCTGGTCTGGAGGAGACGCCAGACAGAGCCAGGAGGGACGACTCAGGTGACGCGCAGGGGTCCGCGGGCGCCCGGGGCACGAGGAGAAAGCGGCCCAGGAGGTGCCGACCAGGGACGGGGCCGTCAACACTCAACTGCCCACGTCTGGTCATTGTGCAGGGACGATGCCTTGCTCTGAGGGGTTCAGGAGCAACTGGTCATGAGGTCTGCAACTCACTCTTTTTGTAAAAAAGTTGTCTTAATTAAATTTGTTTTTGAGTCAGGGTCTCTATATGTTGCTCAGGCTGGTCTTGAACTCCTGGGCTCCAGTGTTCCTCCTGCTTCAGCCTCCGGAGTACCTAGGACTACAGGTGTGCGCCACTGTGGCTAGCTTTCGCAACGCTCTTAACTGGTTCCGGAAAAGAAAGCAGAGGAGGCCGGGCGTGGTGGTGCACGTGTGGGCCCAGCTACTCGGGAGGCTGAGGCAGGAGGATCGCTTGAGCCCAGGACTTGGAGGCTGCAGTGAGCTGTGATGATGCCACTGCACTCCAGCCTGGGCGACAGAGCAAGACCCTGCCCTGGAAGAGAAAGAAAAGAAAGAAAGAGTGAGCATGGTGACCTAGAGGATGGGAATTTGGGCATTCATGTAGTATTTTTGCAATTTTTCTGGAAGTTAAAATTTTTCAAAATAAAGGTTTAAGAAATGAGGTGGGGCCAGGCGCGGTGGCTCACGCCTGTAATCCTAGCACTCTGGGAGGCCGAGGCGGGCGGATCGCTCAAGGTCAGGATTTCGAGACCAGCCTGAGCAAGAGCGAGGCCCTGTCTCTACTAAAAATAGAAAGAAATGATCTGGATAACTAAAAACATATATAGAAAAAATTAACTGGGCATGGTGGCGCATGCCTGTAGTCCCAGCTACTCGGGAGGCTGAGGCAGAAGGATTACTCGAGCCCAGGAGTGTGAGGTTGCTGTGAGCTAGGCTGACGCCACGGCACTCACTCTAGCCCGGGCAACAGAGCGAGACTCTGTCTCAAAAAAAAAAAAAAGAAAAAAGAAATGGGGTCTCTCCCGTGTTTGTGGACGTAGCCACTGCCCTGGGTTGAACAGCGTCCCCCCAAATTCACATCCACCCGGAACCTCGGAGTGCGACGTTACTCGGAAACGGGTCTTTGCAGGTGTGAACAGGTGAGCTGAGGGTGTGCCGCGTGAGGGGGATCCCAGACCGATGCTGGCGTCCTTGCTGGGGAGGGGGACGCCGTGTGCAGACACAAGCTGAGGCCGGGGGCTGAGCCGGAGCCGCCACAGAGCCTCGGGGGGAGCCCGCCTGCCCACCCTGGATCTGGGACTTGCAGCCTCCAGAGCTGTGAGAGGACAAGCTCCTGCTGGGTCCAGCCCCCGGCGCGTGCGACAGAGACGTGGACGTGAGAGAGATGCTCACGTCGTGTGCGAACAGGACGGCAGAGGCTCTCCTTGGAATTGGGGCTGTGGGGCGGCCTGGAGAGAGGCAGCCCGCCCTGCCCCCCGGCACAGTCCCCTCGGCCCTGCACTAAGTCCTCCGCCTCCTCCTGGCCCCAAGTCACCCCCATTGACGTTCCTGGCACTCGGCAGGACTGTCCCTGCCACGGGGCCTTTGCGCTGGCAGCTCCCCTGGCGCAGAACACAGCTCGCTCGGTCTCTGCTCTGAGCCATCTCCCGTCACCCCTCCTTTCTCACTGCACGAACCCTACCCAATACGAACCTCCTCGTTACTGCGGTGCTCAGCGTGTGACCCAGCCCGAGCGAGGGCCGGGGTCTTCCTCTGTCCTGTCCTCCGTGTACGCGCAGTGGCCACCGCAGGGCGGGGCACGTGCCCTGGGTGCACAGGCGAACGTGCCGCCCTGTGCTCTGTGCCTCCGGGCAGAGGTGAGGCCACGCGCCGGGGCACTGAGGCTGCAGGGCCCTGAGTGCAGCGTGGGGACCACGCACCTTTGAAGAAGACGATCTTGTGGTCGCTGGTGCGCTCGTACACGGCGTCCACGCTGTCCAGGTGCAGGGGCAGGCCCCGCCAGAAGCGGTGCATCTGCGCCGGCTGCAGGGACACCAGGTGCCGGTCTCGGTTCAGCCGCCAGAAGTACTTGCCTGGGGGACACAGGGGAGGTGGGGCTGCAGGTGGCGGGTCTGGGGCCCGAGTGGGCCACACCCCTCTATCCTCTGGCTGCGGGACCCCGGGGTTACCTTTGAAGAAGAAAGCCTCCCCGCGGATCTGGGCCACCGCGTCAAAGTGAGTGCTGCACCTGTGGGGCACGTCCTTCCGGGGCCTGTGGGGGCAGAGAGAGCGGGTGGGCTGGGAGGCGGCCGCCCCACCAAGCACCCATGGGGCCGGCTTCACCAAGCCTGGGGAACGGGCATCTCGGCTGCGGGCTCTGCGAGGCCAGAAGAGGAAGGCGAGTTAACACGAGGCCGGCAAGGACCCGCCCTCCGTGCATGCGTCAGGGCGCTCGCGCACACGTGGGCAGGAGTGGGAGCTGGGCAGTGCCCGACGGGCCAGCTGGGCACCGTCTGCCTAAGAGCGAAGTGTACCTGGGACCCCGCTCCAGAGCTAGAGCTCTGTCCTAGAGAGTGAATTCATATCATCATCATCATCATTATTATTTCGTATAGACAGGGTCTTGCTATGTTGTCCAGGCTGGTCTTGAACTCCCGGCCTCAAGCAATCCTCCCGCCTCAGCCTCCCAAAGTGCTGGGATTACAGGTGTGAGCTACCGCGCCCGGCCTGCATCATTGTTTGTGACGGCAAAGGACCCGGCACAACGTAAACGTCTGCCAAGAGAGGACTACAGGGTGGCCCACGGACGCCGGCGTGGCACCCGGCTCTCCGAGGGACGGGCGAGTCGTCACAGACAGACGCAGGCCTCTCAGAGAAGCCACGCGCGACGTGAGCAGCACAGGGCTGCACATATGGCTCTGTGTCCGAACTTCCGTGCAGACGTGTTGGACACGTTCGGAAGGGACGTTTGCTCCCGGGGAGGTCGGTGCTGGGGTCAGGGGGGGAAAAACGACCTTTCCAAGCCGGGCGCTTTCTGTGCCTTCTGAACTTTGTTCCATGGGCTTGTGCTACCCACTCCAAAAATAAGTTACTTTCAGACAAAAGCCGAGTTGGAGCGGCACCTCGGCCCGAGTGGAAATTCAGCGTGAACCGCTAGGCGAGAAAAGTGTGAAACTGTCGCACGCTGGAAACCAAAACCAATCCCTGCAAAACCAGCGCCTGCCAGCACCCAGGACAACGCGGCCCGGCTGAGCCCAGCCTTCGAGTCAGCCCCGCCAAGCACTGGCCAGGTGCACACGCCCCTGGTCTTCCACGACCCCCGCCCCCGGCAATGTCCCTGCCACGTGGAGCGGCAGCCGGCCACCCTGCGCCCCGTCTGACTTCCAGACCCACAGAAGCCACGTGCTGATGCGGTGGTGGTGTCTGGTGGCATGAGGCCGGGCTGCTTGTCACCCCGCAGGTGACAGGGACGGGGGTGAGGAAACCGTGTTTGAAGTTTGGGGTCTCTGCTCCGGCTCCCTGGTGGGTGAGCGCGTTTCCCGCCCCTGCCCGAGGGGGTTTAGGGAACGGAAAGTATCACTCGGGCTGTGTCGGGGCAGCGCGGGACAGGGACACACAGGCCACGGCGGGAGGTGGCAGCGGGGACGTGGCTTACGGGATGCTGGACCGGTTGTCGGGGGGCTCCGGCAGCAGGGGCGGCTCCTCGGGCTCCGGGGTGTGCGGCTGCGCCGTGGGGGACACAGCCTCCCGCACGCCTGTGGGACACAAGAACCGCGTCGAGCCCCAGGACGCCGCCTCCCTCCACCTCCCCGGCCCCTCCGGAGTCCGGCTCAGGCGGCCACAGCCGCGGAGCGCCGCGGGGCCAGCCCGCACAGCGCGCGGACGGCGCAGGGCGTTCAACACCGCCCGGAAACCTCACTCGTGGCTACGCGCCGAGAGAACCGGGAACGGCTTTTCCAACAGAAACTCGCACACCACGCTCAGGCGCGGCTCCGACGGCCAAAGGTGGACGCACCCACACGCGCAGGGACGAACAGAGAAGGAAAACCCGGCAGCCCAGAAGAGAGGGAAGTTCTGCTCCGGGCTGCCACGTGACGAGCCGTGAGAACGTCACGTGCAGCGCGAGGGCCAGAGACAAAGCTGCAGGATGAGCCCTTCATAAAAACGCCCAGAATTGGCCCATCTAGAGCGAGAGGAAGTGGATCGGGGAGCCGGGGCTGCCCCCAGTGTTCGGGGGACAGACGTGGACTTTTGTCCCAGGGCGCCGAGGGTCTCAGGGGCGGCTCTGGGAAAGGCGGAGGGGCCCAGCCACGCACCCCACGGACACCGCTGCCCGGACGCGCTCTTTATCCGCCCACACGTGGGGCCGCGGGCTGTGCCGGGCGCCCGTGTCCGGCTTCTGGGCACACTCACCGTACAGCTGCCAGATGCGCACTCTGTCCTCGTAGGGGAGCCCGTAGCGCAGCGGGTCGCCCACCGGGCCCTGGTAGTACGGTCGCATGATGGAGCGCGCCGCGGCCGCGTGGCTTAGCCCCAGGGCGTGGCCGAACTCGTGGACGGCAACCGCAAACAGGTCCATCCCGTGGGCATCTGGGGACGTGGGGACCACGTGAGCCGGGCAGGGAGGGGCCCTGTCCCCGAGGGGTGGGGCCGCGGTGGCCCAGGGTGCCTGTGGGGGCCACCATCCGCTAAGCCAGGCTGCCGTGGGGGGCGCCCGCGGGCCCTGGTCCTGGTCGCACGGGTTCGGGGGTCGCTCAGGGCTTGCTCGATCCCCATGAGGCTCTGTGGGGGCTGCGGGGGCCCCATGGACTCGCCGCCGCCAGACGCACCCGAGGAGCGGAAGGTCCAAGCCTCGTCGTCGTCAAAGTGGACGTCCCCTGCGGCGCGGTGGTCGCCGGGGAAGAAGGCGTGGGCCACGGTGCCGCCAGGGCCGTCGAAGGGGTAGCCGTCGTTGTGCTCGGCCTGGGAGAAGTCGATCTGGATGTCGGCGGCGCTGCCCGCCACCTCGTGGAAGTTCAGCGGCGTGATGTCGCTCCAGACCTTGAGCGCGTAGTACATGAGCGCCCGCACCGTGTCGCGGCCCAGGGCCGGGTCCCGCGGGAACGTCCGGACCCTGCGGGCAAGGGTCAGAGCCCAGAGTCCAGCCGTGGAGAAGAGGCCCAGCGCCCCCCGCCCGGCTCAGGTGCCTTCCCTGGGACCAAGCGCGGCCCCAGCCCGGGGGTGCCTGTGTCGGGGAGGGTGCACCCCGTGACCTGCCCTTCCCCCTTCCCAGGCGTCTGCTGCCCTGGGGAGACCCCAGGAGTTCGTGCAGGATGGACCGGAAGGTGGCAGCAGGTGACAGTCGGGTGGGCTGAGACCCCCAACGCACCAGGGTCCACCCCCAAGTGCAGCCCCCAGCCACAGGCCCTCAGCGGGCACACTCTGCCCTCGTCCACCTGCTCCCACCAGGGAAGGCCTCTCCGAGCCATTTCTGACCCCAGGGACGGCAGAAGGGGACAGCCCAGAGGCAGCGGGTCAGACGGTGCCCCCCAAACTCGTGTCCTCCCGGAACCCCGGAATGTGGCCCGACGAGGAAACGGTGTTTGTGGGCGTCAGTGAGGACAGAGACAACGGCGTCCGGGCTAGGGTGGCGCGACCAGGGCGTGCCCTCGCGAGGGGCGGCGGCGCACAGACCACAGGCAGGAGACCGCCACGCCCGAGGGCTGCTCACACCCGCAGACGCGGGGCAGGGCCGGGGCAGACCCCGAGCCTCCGGGACAGGGAGGGAACAGGAGTAACTTCCCGCTGCCCAAGGCCTCGGCGTGCGGGCATTCGCTGGGGCAGCCCCCGGACACCGAGACACGGCCAGCGCCAGGCCGGGGCCTGCTCCTCGCCGGCCCCCCACCCACCTCCACGACAGGTTCCTCTTGTTCCACTTGGTGGGGGCCGGAGCCTGGCGCCTCCTCCGAGCCTGGGCCGCGGTGGGGAGGTCCGGGAGGGAGCAGCGTGGCGTTCTCATCAGCGCCAGGGTGGCCTCGTCTGCAGGGGCGGGTGGTGGGTGGGCGTCAGAGCCAGGACCCCAACTTGGGGTCCCGCCTGTCTCCCCAGAGCTGGAGCGTCTGACTCGGGCCGTGGCTCTGCGCTCAGGTGCCGCCCCCTCCCGCCGCACGCGGCCCCGGGGCCCGCGGCGCCCACAGGCCAGGACCGCGGCAACATTCAAACTTAGGGCGTGGCCGTGACCAAGCAGAGGGGGCCAGGCTGAGCTGGCGCAGCCCACCGGGGACAACGGTGCCCCCCCGACCCCCAGAGCACTGACCGAGGACGCCGGTGGCCTCCAGGCCCCCAAACTGCTGCATGGCCACGATGGCCCTGGACAGCTCCTCCTGGGTCTGCAGCCGCCCGGTGGCGGGGTCTGCCGGGGGCAGGTAGCCGAACCTGCTCAGCCACTCCTGGGGGCAGAGAGCAGAGTGAGGGGTGCAATGGGGGGCTCAGCCCCCAACCCCGAAGAGGAGCCTGCCCCGGGCCCCACTGGGGCAGGTGTCGGCAGCCTCTCAGCCCCATCACCAGCCAGCCCCTCACCAGCCCACAAGCCACCGCTTGCCCCAGTCTTAAGGCAATTTACCGACAGCAGCTGGAAAATTGTCTTAATAAACTCGATGCCCTCTAGGTAAGGTGAGCTTGCGCAGTGCACAGCCTGTACAACTGCCCACAGCAGCCCTGCTCCACCTCGTCCTGAGGCAGCAAAATGCCCAGAGGACATTTAAAAGGTTCTTAAACATGACCAGCACCAAATGCAGGCCCTCAGCTGACTTGTGGGAGGAGAGTCTAGGGCCCAAGTCCTGAAACCCCAGCCGAAAAGGGCAACGGGCTCAGACTCGTGTTAGGACTTGGCGTGAGCTGCACGTTACTGGAGCAGCAGCAGCGCAGTGCAGTGAAGAGCCCGGGCTCAAGCCAGGCTGCCCAGGTTCAAATCCTACTTGGCTACCTCCTCGCTGTGTGACCTGGGGCAAGTTAGTCAACCTCTCTGGGCTGTCTCCTCGGCTATTAAACCAGTAAGAGTCCCGACTTTGCAGGATGGTTGTGAGGACACGAGTCAGGATGCGGGAGATGCTCACACCAACACCCTGCTCTGCCCAGCGGGTGGGCGTGGGCCGCGAGCTACTCCACCCCCACAGCCCGGCAGGGAGCAAGACTGGTCCAGCCACCTCTGCCACCCCGGGGGGTCTGGGGACAGGAAGAGCCTGATGCCATCCATGGGGGGACCCCATGCCATCAGTGGGGGCTGTCCCGCCCCGAGCTGCAGCTTCCTAACCGCCAAACGGCGCCCGCGCCCACCCGTTGGCTGCCGTGAGGACCCTGCTCCGCCGTGCGCATGCTCGGAGGGCCACCCCAGGAGGGCCCACGGGGTGCAGGGCTGGGTCCCCGGGCTCCTGTGAGCTGCACCCCTACCCCGGGCCTGGCTCCAAGAAAGGTACAAACCAGGGTGACATGCCAGGCCCTGCTTGCAGACTTGCCTTTTTTGGTGGGCATTTAAAAAATTCTCTCAACTAACTTATGCCAGCTGCCGGGCACCATAGCTGAGTCTCTGCCCCCACCCGAGCTCTCTGGGAGCCGAAGACGGGCCCACAGGGCCGGGCAGGTGCGGTGGGAATGAGGCTCCACCCCCGAGCCCCCAGGGCACTGTCGGGACAAGCCACACGGGCCTCGTGCAAACAGCTGCCGACACCTAGACCCCCTCCCACTAACAGAGCCCACGCCAGGGTCCTCCCCACGCGGCCCTGCCAGGAAGCCTCCGAGAGTGTGAGCAGAACGGGGGTCCTGGGGACCCTCGGGTCTGGTTCTCAGGCTGCAGGCCCGGGACCCTCCAGGGGGGCACTCATGATTCCAGGGGCAGCTTCTCCTGAGGGGCCCTTGGGGCGCCAACCTACGCTCCCCCAAGGTGGGGCCCAGACAGGCCCGCCTCCCACTCTGGCTCTGACCCCGGGTGCCGGGGTCGTGGCCGGGCCTGCACGATCTTCCTCTGGGAGCGCACCCCCCGCCCCACACGGACACCCTCCCGCAGCGATCACCAGCAGGATTTGCTGGGCGTGTCCCACGGCTACTCGCCGTGCTAGGTGCTGGAGACACCCAGGAGCGCATTCCACACTACATACGAGCATTTTCAGCCACACGCGGTTTTTTGGAAAAGTTTTACAAACATTTTAAAGTTTTGATTCTGCAATATTCTTTTCAAATGTCAGAACACACACACACACGTTTTTGTAGTCCCTTTGTTAAGATCACAGACTGGAGCTACAGGGCCACGGTGTCTCATGGTTACAGCAGCCTGTCACCTCCTCCGGGAAGCCCTCCAGAGTGTCCTCAGACCAGATACGATGCTGGGTGAAGGTGGCCCAACTGCCCGCTTACCAGGGAAGGGTCCACACAGGGAGGTGCCTTCCCCCCCACCCCAGGCCAGCTGTTTCCCAGGTCGGGTCACCCACCCCCTGCCAGGCCTCCCCCAATCGGGAGCCAGGGTAGCAGCAGGGTGGCCCCTCTGCTCTGTGGGGTTCACAGAGGACGGAAACAGTCCCTCTGGTCCCCGGAGAGCCGGCAGCCTGGGCACGAGGCCACACACCTTTCGGGCCTCAAACACCTCACACTGAGCCTGGGCCCGGCAGGCAGCACTCGAGGTGGTTTTAAAATGTTTTCCAGCATTTAAGAGCAGGTGGTTTGGCGGCAGGTCCGAGTGGCCCACCCCGGACAGCCAACCCCCGTCAACAGCCACCCCTGCCGGGCACAGAGCACAGAAAGGACCGAATCCCCGGGCTGTGGGTGCCCGTGACTCCCGCCCACCCGAAGGCCTGGGGGCTGCGCCTCAGTCTACGGGCATCACAGCCCCTGTCCTGTGGTCCCTCTGGGTCAGATCCCAGACGTGGCCGGAGTGCGAGGGTGGGGACAGCTCCGCACCTCGCCGGGGGATGCACCACGGAGGTGCCGGAGGACAGGACGAGGCCCTGGTGGACGCAGGACAGAGGCGCCCCCCGCCCTGCCCAGCACGACCCTCGGGAAGGAGCAGCCGGCGGAGACAGCTCTGCTCTGCAGGACGGAGGGCCAGCCCCAGTGGCCAGCGCCACACGAGCGCCGCGGTTGATGCTGGAAATGCCCGAGGCGGTCAGCGGGGCCAGGAGGGGGCAGAGGTGACCAGGCTGGGGTCCTCGCAGGCACAAATGCGGCGGTGCCCCTGCCCCGCCCACCACAGAGGCGCCTATGGCAGGATGGCCCTGGGTGGGGGCGCAGACCGCCCACTGCGTGTCCCCTGCCCGCCCACCTCAATTCCTGCAGAGCCCGGACTCACCCGCCGGCCGGCCCATCGGTCTGAGCGGCTTCCTGCCCCCACGCCCACCGCCCGTCCTCCCTCTGCTGTCACCACGGAGACTGTTGTCTCCAGGGCAACCGAGGCTACGGCGGGCGTTGCAGCAACAGCGGTGGGTGAACCTTCCAGAAGGCCACTGGGGAGGGGGCAGGAGGGGAGCCCAAGAGCTGCAGGGTGTCCCAACCCTGCAGACGCCCCGCTGGTGGGAACTCCCCTAGCGGGCGGCAGCTGCTCCACTCCCGCCAGGGGCGGGGCCGTTAACAACGCCCACAGGACACTGAGGCCGGAGGCGGGGGCCTCGCCCACTGGCCACCCAGCTCTGGCTACACTTGTCACTGTAGCTCTGATCACCGTTTGACACTTCGTGTATCTTTTACAGCTTTACGGAGATAACACACAGCATAAAATACCCTTTGATGTGTTTTTGTTTGTTTTTTTGAGACAGAGTCTCACTCTGTCACCCGGGCTAGAGTGCCGTGGTGTCAGACTGTCTCACAGCAACCTCAGACTCCTGGGCTCAAGCGATCCTCCTGCCTCAGCCTCCCGAGTAGCTGGGACTATAGGCGCCACCATGCCCGGCTAATTTTTCTATTTTTAGTAGAGATTGGGTCTCGCTCTTGCTCAGGCTGGTCTCGAACTCCTGGCCTGAAGCGATCCTCCCACCTCAGCCTCCCAGAGTGCTAGGGCTGCAGGCATGAGCCACCGCGCCCGGCCTCCTCTGATGATTTTAGCAAACCTATGAGCGCAGCCACCACCCCCGCATATCTGCTGTGCTGGCTGACTGTCTCTTCCAAGCGCCCACCCCCAGCACTGTGACTCTGCTGCGCCACGGGGGGCTCCTGGCACCCCACCCTCACTGAGGCCTTGCAGCTGACCTACCCTCGCCCACATCAGACTTGACCAGCACCAGGAGCAGGCGGAGAGCAGGTGCCATTTTGCAGATGAGGAAGCTGAGGCTCAGAGAGGTTGGGTAACCTGCCACAGTCACACAGCTCACGGTCCAGCTGACCAACCCCCCTTCCGCTGCCCCATCCCCTTCCCCAGGGGACGCTCGCAGGTGCCCTCTGGCAGCCTGCCCTCTGTCCGGGCAACACATCCCGAGCGTGCTGTGTGGGTGCTGGGGAGGGAGAAGGCCGGGCCCATCCCGCCGTCCCCCGGGAGCAGACGGTACGTGGGGGGCCCAACGACAAACAAGTGGACACAAGTAAATGAATCTCAGCGGCCGCTCGTCACGGACGGGGATCACCCCACGTGACCTGACGGCTGCCGTCACCAAGCACCTCCCGCTCGCGCTGCCGGGCGCTCCCAGCACCCTCAGGCGCTCCATGAGGACGGGCCCTTGAATCCAAAACGGGGCAGCACACAGCAGGCGCCCGAAAAGCACCTGCTCAATCAACCTTAAGAAGCGGATACTATTATTGTCCTCAGTTGACGGATAAGAAAACGGAGGCACAGAGAGGTTAAGACGCTTCCCCAGGGTCACACAGCCAGCGAGTAGCGAGCTGGGCCTGGAACCCAGGCTGTCTGGCTGCAGGGCCTACGCCTGTAGCCGCTGAGCTACACGGGGTGCTGAGGGATGGGAGGGAGGGGCCGCTTAAATAAGGGTGCTCAGGGAAGACATCCTGGGGGGTGACCTTCGGGCTGTGACCTGCTAGACGAGAAGTGGCTATCTAGGTTGAGCGTCAGTGAACACGGCAGGGGACAGCAAGTGCAAAGGCCCCGAGGCAGGGCCCCACAGGGAAGTGCCCGGAGCAGAACGCAGGAGGGGAGGAGGGGAGGAGGAGGTGGGCCAGGGCGGGCGGGGCTCTCGGGGCCCGGTGGAAAGCGGGACTTGATTCCAAGTGCGGCAGAAACCAGGCCCTGCACCCTGCGCAGGCCGCCCGCCCCAGCACGCGCCAGACCCAGCCCAGGAGGCCCGAGTCCCAGAGCTCAGTGCCCGGCAGGCTCACGGCTACCGTGAGACGATGTCGCCCGTCACGTGCCGGGCACCGACCCTGCACCCAGAGCCTGGGCTTCTGTTTCCCGGAAGCTCAGATCCACCCTTAACAAAGGGGCAAAAATCACAGGGTCAAAGTACCTTGGAAACACCCTACTAACCCCAAACGCTCAGCTCTGTCCCTTCCCCGCCGCCCCAGAACCGTCGGAATCTCCACCTGACGCACAACAGCCTGTTCTCCTAGTCCCCATTTTACAGCTGGGAAGACTGAGGCCCGGCGATCAGTCTCATGGAGCTGGTGAGTGGATGCCTGGGAT